TTTATACCTATTCCCATAAAAGACCTATTAACTTTTTCTAAACGATACTTGGGGACAGCAAGTTTGTCTTTAAATCTTGTATTAATATTATGAATATTGCTGTTTTTTGGAAATAAGTCAAGATTTTTATGAACATATAGGATATTTGAATATATAAATTGAGAAGCAACGGTGAGAATATTTGCCTCTTTGAATTTCTCTCTTAATGAGTCACGACTTTTCATACAGTAGATCGCTCCTAACCTATATGTTATTCTGATGTATATGCTATTTTTATACTCTTTATTGCACCAATTATAGAACAAAAACAAAAAAACAATTAAAATGGAAAATATACACTGATACAAAAGGCGGTCTTATCGCTAAGCAATCTCTTCCAGACTACCTTTAGGTGGATAGAGAAATAAAAATAAGAACAGGGTAGGTGGCGCACGTAATAAACAAAAATAAATATATAGGACTCAAATATACATAAATGTAAACATACACACACATTGTGGAATACAGGCCACTTATTTGTTTATAACTATTTTATATGCTTTATATTTCGAATACCAAAATTATATTCTAAATTGTCACTACTATCCCTGGCCCTAGTTAGTAGTGTTTCTTTATAATATTAATATATACAATATATATATATATATATATATATATATATATATATATATCCTACAACTCCCTGGTTTCCTTTATCGCCCACACACATTAATACATATATACATACACATACATATACTTAATAGTGCACATACATATGGAAAAAATGAAGGTAGATTAGTTATGAGAATAATAAGAAATTAATTAAAGGGAAAGAAAATGGGATTTGACAGAGGATTTAAAGCTGGACTACCCCTAACATTTAGGGGCAAGTGATTGAATGCTCCGAATGCTAGAGGAGAGTGAGATCCACAACCTAACGGCCTGGACAGAAAAGGAATTAGAATAGAAGGAAGTGGAATGAGAGGGAAATCTTAGACGGAGATAGTTAACATTATCTATCTTATATATAAAATTCTCGTGTCACAGTTTTCGTTCCCATACTCCTCCGAAACAGCTTGACCGATTCTCATGAAATTTTGTAAGCGTATTGAGTAGGTCTGAGAATCGGCCAACATCTATTTTTCATCCCCCTAAATGTTACCATGTTAATGTCCACCCTTAAATTTTTATTTTTATTTTTTAAGATAAATTTTTTAGTTTCTATTTTTATGATACAACATACAAAAATACATACAATCCTAAATTTTCACCTTTCTATCATCAACCCCTATTTTTTTATAGCGTTATTAATTTATATGGCAAAACAACGTTTGCCGGGACAGCTAGTATATGTATATATATATATCTCTCACTTTAAAAATTCAACAGAATCCGTTCAGTAGTTTCTGCGCGAAAGAGTAACAAACAAAAGAAATATCTATACCTATAAATAAAATTTGAGTGTCTGTTTGTAATATTGAAATAATCGTTTTTACTACATGCATATGAATATAAATACGGCACGTACACCAAAATGTCATTTTTTACCATTTTTGTCTGTATGTCGGTCTGTTTATTCCGGTGAATCTCTGAAATGGCTGAACCGATTATGACGTGAGTTTTATTGGTATGTAGCTGATGTAATAAGGAGTAACTTGGGCTACTTTTATTTTAAAAAAATGAAGTTAAAATCCACGCGGACGAATATATAAGTATTTATAACAGTTGTTTAGTATCCATAACACAAGTTCTGCTTAACTTGTGACTAGATGGCGCTGTGTGAATTATCCAGGGTTATTATTATTATTACGAGTACAACCATAGGATAAGATACTGCTTCATAAACATTGGTAAGTTTATATAAAAAATTTGACATTAAAATCGTGATACAATAATGCTTATCTACATGTAGTAGCGTAAAATAAAAGATAAATACAATATGTACATTGACGCACAAACTGAAATTACTTGTTTAAATATACATAAGTTATCGGAAGTAATTCAGTAGTTATACAATAATAATATATATATATATACTAGCTGTCCCGGCAAACGTTGTTTTGCCTTAAAATAAAATAAAAAATTAGGGGTGGACTACCCCTAACATTTAAGGGGATGAATAATAAATGTTGGCCGATTTCAGACCTACTCAATACGCTCACAAAATTTCATGAGAATCGGTCAAGCCGTTTCGGAGGAGTATGGGAACGAAAACTGTGACACGAGAATTTTATATATAAGATAATAATCTCAGGACAATTCACACAGTGGCGCTGTTAGACCCAAGTTAAGCTAGCTAAAGCCTGTGTTATGGGTACTAGATAACTGATACATATACATAGATATTTTTTTTTTCGTAAATACATACACAATATACATAGAAAATACCCAGACCGATACAAACAATCGTACTCACGAATATAAATGTTTGTGGCGTGCGAGGAATCGAACCCGCGACCATCAGAAGTAAGGCGGTGTGCTAAACCGCTAGACTACCGAGGTCGTCAATTATTATTATTATTAGTTATTTCTATTTCTATTTCTATTTCTGTCTGTCTGTTTGTTCCGGCTAATCTCTGAAATGGCTGGACCGATTTTGACGGGAGTTTTATTGGCAGGTAGCTGATGTAATTAGGAGTAACTTAGGCTACTATTATTTTTAAAAAATCCTTTATTTTAGAAAATTTAAGTTAAATTCCACGCAGACGAATTTGCGGGTACAGCTAGTAATAAATTTGAACAATCCACATAGCACCAGCCAGTCCCAAGCTAAGCAGAGCTTGTGTTGTTGTTACTAGACATAATAATAGAAAATATTTAATAATAATAATAATAATAAATTTGTATTATGGTATATCCACCTGATATAAAACATTGTTATGAGTTATAGAGTACGCAATATATAAATCAAGCTGTATGACATTTGAAATAGGTGAGATGAGACTGATGTACACGCGAAGATAACTCTGTACAGGTTACTTTTGCTGAAGAAGACTCTGCAGAAGATTTAGAAGAAGACTTCAGCTGTTGGTAGAAATAATCCTATTAGACAACAATGCAAATTTAAAACTAAATAACACTCCTTCTAGAAGGCATATTCCGCAACAAATTGTCAGGTATATAAAAAAAAGTGTTGTAATCAGAAATGTAATTATTATTCTGAATTTATAGTTTTTAATTTTACATTCTTGTTTTATACTATGTTGTTATTATATGTTATTTATTTATTTATTTATTATTTATCTGGCTTTATATCTTATTATTATTTCCTCCTTTTTTTTATCGAATATGTAATATTATGTTAAGTAGTATGTATGATTTTGTGCTGTGTAAATGTTAATAAATGAAATAATATGTACCCTGGGAAGGTATGTGACATCTGAGATACAGTATAATTTTATACTAGTTCGGATGGCACAATTACACTTGTATGTTAAAATTATTGACTCTTATGTACAACTTAATTATGTAACACAACCTTTAACTGCAATAAATATTATTATTATTATTATTATTATACTTCACTAGCTTTTGCCCGCGGCTTCGCTCGCGTTAATTTATCCCTTTAGGGGTGGAATTTATTAAAATACTTTCTTAGGGGACGCCTACGTTATAGTAGCATTATGCATGCAAAGTCTCAGCCCGATCGGTTTAAAATTGACAAAGTTTCATACAAACTTTCATACCCTATTTTATCCCCTTGGAGGTAGAATTAATCATAATCCTTTCTTAGCGGATGCCTAAGTCATAACATCTACCTGCATGCCAAATTTCAGCCCGATCCGTCCAGTGGTTTGGGCTGTGCGTTGATAGATCACTATGACAGTCACCTTTGAGTTTATATATATTTAGATTTTTTACCCTCTTCAAACAATTCAATTCAAACAGGGATCGATATTACGACGGCTTGAGGCGTGGTTCGAACCTCTAGTGGTGCCCTCAGACTAAAGTCGTATACGTCAGGCGGGAGATAGCCTTCGGCCGCTCCATAAGTCCTTCCGCGGGTTTGGAGTGTCATCTGCACTCGTCCGGTGAAGCTGTAAAGGCCAGTTGCAGCCAACAGCATTAGACTAGTGCGAAAAAAAAGTGTTTTGATTTCCGATACATATCTCCGTGTACCTAGTCTTTTTCATTCTACCTATACAACTATAAATAAAAATACAACAAAAAGTATGCAGGATGAAAGTAATTGCCCAATTGAAATTTTTCTACTATTTAGAATCCCATACTTTCACAAGTATGGGATTCTGCAAGAATCTTAGCAAGAAGAATTAGCAAATAACTTAGATGTTGCTCTTTTAAATAATTGATGCAATTTTATATTAAAAATATATTTTATATTTTTATAGATTGAAATGTGTGAATACAAACAAACAAATATCAGTAATTCATTGGAGTTAAAATATTAAATATACAATCAATTATTTAAGTAACTAAATAAGATTAAATCAATCGTAGTGATTAGAGCACACCAAGACAATAAGGACTCACTTGGGTGTTGCTCTTTTAAATAATTGATGTAACATTATATTTTTAGGTTGAAATGTCTGTATACAAACAACCAAATATCAGTAATTCATTGGAGTCAAAATATTAAATATACAATCAATTAATTCAGTAACTAAATAAGATTAAATCAGTCGTATTGATTAGAGTAGACTAGGACAAGAAGCCTAAACCATTTCCGAGTATGAAGAAAATAAAAATTCTAAAAACGTGAGTGCAGAATTACTCAAATGATCCACAACAAGGCCACAGATCCATCTCGAGCTTAGTGCCCGCTCTCAGGCCGCGCAATTAGCACTGATAACAAGATAACACCACTCAAACATCTGATAACAGCGTCGGTTGTGTGTAATGAAAAATTACGAAACACTGACCGGGAAAATTTGTAGAGAAAATATACTGCAAATTGTTTATCTTAATTTCAACGTTCTGTGAAATATTTTGTTGATTTTGTTACCAGTGATGTGTTTATTGGCGATGCTGTAATCTTATAAGCTAAATTTGGACTCAAAATGGAAAATGACAATGAATATGAACAATTAAATCATTTGTACGACGAATGTTTGGGATATCTTTCTAAAGTAAATGAAGCAATTAATGAGGAAAGAATAAGTGAATTTGATATACTCGGCTACACAACAGTGACAGGAAATGATTCTGGTAAAGATCAGTTGGATTTCCGACATGAAATTATCACGGATGTGATTCAAGAAGAACCTAGTTTAGAAATATATGGTGATGAAAATGAAGATGATTATGATTGTGTTGTAGAATTAAAAGATGAATCTGTCGTAAAATTAACAGATAAATTGCCCGGAAATAAATGTGATGATGAATATTTAGAGAAGGATAATGATGAGCCTCTATATGCTACTGTAAAAAAAGGAAATGACGAGGTAATTATCGATGATCCTATTGATGGTACTAATAATATCGACCCTGGATATGAGACTATCAAATCAAACAAACGAATCAACGAAAACAAAGCAATAGATGACGCAAACATTAAATTTAACATTGAAAATGAAGTATTGGGCAGTACGGTATCCTTGCCTGGGGATATTAAATCTGAAAGACTTAGAAGACTTTCACAGCAGTTACCGAAAATAATAATTACACAAAGTAATGCCAGTTTAAGTAAGCCCTCCGATGACGTAACAATTAACCTTCGGAATGAGGTGCCCAGGGAGAAAGTGAAGCCAACTTCAAACAGGTAATAGTGGATATTTAACCTTGAAGAACAATGTCATAAAGATTATCAAAAACCTTACAATTTAATAGTAGTTCCTGTTGTATAATACTTCTAATTAAAGAGAGAATAGAATTGTTAGTTCACGGTGACTTATCACCGCATAGGTAGCGGTATGTCATGACATTTTGGCTGTCATACGGTACCCCCTGGAAACCATGATGTCAATTCCTGGCGAATTTGACACGATGGGCTAACTGACCTGACTTCATCTTATCACCTTTCACTGGCGTCCAGCTAGCGTAAACCGATAGCACAGGCAGGAGCACCATTCTAAACCATTCATTTTTATATTATAAATTATATTTTATATAAATATTTTTCTTTCTTTCTTTCTTTCTTTCTTTCTTTCTTTCTTTCTTTCTTTCTTTCTTTCTTTCTTTCTTTATTTCATAAAAACTTAATTTATTTCTAATTCTAAGCGCTATAAGACTTTTTAAGGAAATAGTAAAAAGGTCAGTCGACATCACAGAAGACCGAAGAGCTGGCAGCTACCTCGGACTAAGAATTAGTCTAGCAATTCAGAGGAGGAACGCTGCCAGTATCTTCGGAACCTTGCCTAAAGGGACTCCTTTTAATAATATATTTAGTTATTATATTATATTCTTTTAGGTTTCTAATTTTAGGTTCTTTGCTTTAATTAAGTTATGTATATATATCATATTTATTTATTGTGAATTACTTAAATAATTTAATTATATGAAATCTACATTGATATTTATAAGACATTTATGTGAAAGTGAGAATTATGCTACATTTCACAGAATCCTCTTTGCTCTTGTAATAATTGTATTATATGATTACGAACTTGCTTATTGCTCTTTTAAATAATAATAATCTCAGGACAATTCACACAGCGCCATCTAGTCCCAAATCAAGCTATCTAAAGCTTGTGTTACAGGTACTAGATAACTGATACAAGTACATAGATTTTTTTTTCGTAAATACATACATATTATACATAGATATTGTAATAAATGTTAAAATATAATTAATGTGTATATAATAACACACCTGCCTTCTCCTTGTTAATACAAGTAGCAGGCAGGGGACTATCAACATAGAAACCGCTACACGCTGATTCTTTGTACAATCAGATATCGTGCTGCTCAATTGTGGAATGGACTTCCGTTACGTATTCAGCAGAGCCCATCTGTTAGTTCCTTAAAGAAAAGATTAAAATCATACTACCTATCTGCCATTGAATGATTACTTTTATCATTATTTATTTGTTTATTATGATGAATATATTTATGTATTATATGATATGTATGTTTATTCCTATATTTTTGTATTACTATTTATATTTATGTATATTCGTATTTATGTATTTTACTTTTGTTTTAGATTATACAATTTGTTATTTGAATTTTATTTAGTATCTATCCTTTGACATTTTTTTTTTGTTTGCACCAATTATTACCCACTCAGTACCACATATCCCACTGTTTTAGGTTGACTGGAAGAGATCTCTTCTAGGGATAAGTCCACCTTTGCTCACATTGTCTCTAAATTATAATATCTTTTTATTATCTGTGCAATAAAGAATATATATAATATTTTCAGCATTGTAAGATTTTCTACAAAAACATTATTATCATTTATGTAGTATAAGTAGTTTGATAACATAATTCTTCACATTATTTACAGTTTATTCATACTTTATATATTTAGATAAAGAGCTCGAAATTTAATATTTACGTAATTTTTTTTTTAGTTATAAGTATTGTATAAGTAGGGAGTCAACAGAATATCAGCGCTGCAGAGTTATCTGTAGCATTATGCTGAGTTGGCTGCCTTTTCACTTTTGAGGCACATAAAGTCACCTACATTTCTTTTATTAATTCGTGTTTTTTCTGTATCTCATGTATGTTATGTGTCTGTAATTGTGAGTAAAGAATTTATTTATCTATTTACAAACTCTTCAATTTTATAATAAGCATTTTTAATATTAAAATAAATAAATGTATTAAAATTTGTAGAAATCGCTACGCATTCAGATTCTTTGTGCAATCAGATAATATTGTCAGCACTTATTTCTACAAAAACATTATCATCATTTACAAACTCTTCAATTTTATAATAAGCGTTTTTAATATATAAATAAATAAATGTATTAATGTTTGCTGCGTGTATTCCAGATCTTGTAGAAGACCACCATTGCACAGAGGCTATGCAGCGGATTACCCCAAACGACTGGTGTCCAAACGCGGGATGGAGAACGTGGCACTGATATCCAATGTTCCATTTGAGAGGATTCGACTATTGAATGATACTTTCCACACTCTGGTAAGAATAGAAACCAATGTCGATAAAAACATATTGATATCATTTGACGACCTCGGTGGTCTAGCGGTCTAGCACACCGCTTTACGACCGATGGTCGCGGGTTCGATTCCTCGCACGGCACAAACATTTGTATCCATGAGTATGATTGTTTGTATCGGTCTGGGTGTTTTCTATGTATAATATGTATGTATTTACAAAAAAAAAAATATCTATGTATATGTATCAGTTATCTAGTACCCATAACACAAGCTCTAGCTAGCTTAACTTGGGTCTAGATGGCGCTGTGTGAATTGTCCTGAGATTATTATTATTATTATATTATATCATACGATGCATAAATATAAGCATTACTAATCTACATATTGAATAATCACCCGCTCCGGCTTTGCACGGGTGTATGTGTATTATATCACTTTTTATGCCTTGATTTTTTTTGTTATTATTTTCGCCAACAATTTTTCTCTATACTGCCTATGGTTGACTGTTAGAAAATACCTTATGTTGTTAAGTTTATCAATACATTTGGCGGAATTAACACCGTTAAGTCTACTATTACTTTTGCACTGTGTGCTATAAATTTATTTCTTCTTCTAAAAGTAATTGTTTTTCTAAAATAAAAGTAGCCTAAGTTACTACTTATTACATCAGCTACCTTTCAAAAAAAGTCTTGTCAAAATTGGTCCAGCCATTTCAGAGATTAGCCGGATCAAACAGAGTAGACAGACAGACAAAAATTGTAAAAAGTGTTATTTTGGTGTATGTACCCCATTTATAGTCATATGCATGTAGTAAAAAACGATTATTTCAATATTACAAACAGACACTCCAATTTCAAACGTTCAAAAGGTTCAAAATAAGTATTAAATTGCTCTGTAAATGATTTCAGATTAATCTAAGATGGCGCTGGATAGTAATAGGTACCGTGGTGACACATTTCGCGATGTGGCTACTCTTTGCTGTATTCTGGTACATGACTGCGCTTGCTCATTACGACTTCGAGCCAAACCCTCCCAATCGTCCCTGCATCACCGGTGGCAATGACTTCGTAACCATATTTCTAGCATCTGTTGAGGCTCAGGTAAAAAACTTTTTTTTACGTAACTGGAAGAATGTTTTTTATGGATGATAATGGAATGGTGCACCTGCTTGCGCTAATAGTTTACGCTGGCGGGGCACCAGTGGATGATAAGATGAGTATAAGGTCAGGTTAGTTAGCCCACCATGGTAAATTCAGCATGAATCTATAACGATGCCTTCCAGCGGAACCATGTGGAGGTCAACCTGAGATGGTACATAGCTAGCAATGGGGATATTAGTCCAGATACAAGAAGAAAAACATTTATTGACAACTATTATTGATATAAAAAATACATTTACACATATATATATACATATGCAAACACACATATACATATATACACATACATACACACTTAGAACAATTACAAAAAAAAACATCTTATATTATTTATATATATGGTTGGCAACATGGTTGACAGCATATGTCGTGACAACTAACTGTTATAAGCATCCCCATAATGAGCATCCCCATCCACCCAACTGGAAGGACTGATAGCTTCCGGCTCACCTGATAGTAAGTGGTAACCGTATAATCTTCTTATACATATATAAAATTCTCGTGTCACAGTTTTCGTTCCCATATTCCTCCGAAACGGCTTGACCGATTCTCAAATTTTGAGCGTATTGAGTAGGTCTGAGAATCGGCCAACATCTATTTTTCATCCCCCTAAATTAGGGGTAGTCCACCCCTATTTTTTTTATTTTAAGGCAAAACAACGTTTCCCTGGACAGCTAGTATATAATAATATTTACCTATGTTAAGTAAAATTATGTTTGTCCTTTCCAATCACTGTCCATCAACCGTTTCTTCTTCTGTTCTTTCCCAATAGTTAACAGGTAGAGAATTATAGCATTCTCTACCTGGCATATATAGCTTGGCATTATATGGCGCTGTGTGAATTGTCTTTGACGTTGTTATTATTATTAGTGATTGTGCACCGCGGTTTCACTCATAGTTTATAAGAATTAGAATGGCGAGCGTCCCCAATCCAACTCATCATATCTTCCCCGTGCTATTACTACATTTTTGCCTGCATTTCTTCTTTCATTTTTTACATTTCTTGCCCTAAAACTTTCAAGATTGCTTCATTATAATTAAAAATATTATTTTCACATCTAACTAGTAGTTTTAGAGATTATCCCACTCAAACAAACAAATTTAGGTCCATATTCTAAACCTTGGAGATTACTGGCCACATTGTACTAAATCATTTGTCATAATCCAAGTCTAAATATAGCTGAAGTGTCTACTCTAGTGATTACATAATGATAGTAACATTGTTTTGTGTTATAAAATGTCATTCACGCACCAACTGGGTCCAAGTTGTAGCAGGTCAGCGTTTCTCTAATGATTGATGTATTTTTTTATTGGGTTTGGGTTACTGTCAGGTGCTAAGAACTGTAACACTGCGACCATGCAGATCGCACGCAGAATTGGCAAGAAACTCAACTGATGTTCAAATTTTTAAAGCTATTTTATTTTCATTCTCTATTTATAGAGGTGTCTATGTCTAACGTTAAATGAAAATCCCGTGCATGAACAACTATTGCCATGCATGCTCGTATTTAAAGTAATCGTTTAGTGAGTAATAGGCTTTGCTCAATAAATATGATTTGATAATGTGAAATTAAATCTAAATAGACCTTTAACACTGCGACCTGTATAGAGCTATTGTGCTGGCACTTATTCACCATACGTACTTTATTTTAGAGCATTGAGTTAAATAGTCTAGTCATTTTAGCTTAAATTAGGTAAGAATCTCGGAATTCGAGATACCCAGCTATAAGTCTTAAAATTTACATATGGTACGCAACTATTAAATTTTAAGGTCAAAGGTCACAAAAATCGATAATATGCGCTTTTTTTTGTAAATATCTCATTTCCTATGGGTTTTTGCTATTTGTATTTATTATCAAAATTGTAGAATATAAAATTCTCTACAACTTTGGTTTAAAAAATTTTTTTATATGGTAAACCGTTTTCGCGATAGAGGGCGGAGAGCGCGGACTGAACTAAAAGAAATAAATATATTTAAATAAACAGTATTCTGTCTACTCCAAACCGATTCAATTCTATTAATTTTGAGTGAAATTATGGTGTAATATACTAAAATATACTTACCGATTAATTGAAAACATATTCCTTTAAGAGATCGGTTGAAACAATATAAATCGCGAAACTCTTATGTATTACACCAACGTAAATTTTTTAATATACGTGGGTAGAAAATTGGTATATCCTATAATACTCATATTATTGTATCAAAGAAACCATATATCATAATGTAGCTAAAATAGTAACCGTCGGTACAAAAGGTAGAATAAGATTATTTTTGCCACATCGTAGAATCGTCTTCCAGCAATAGTATTTCCGAAACGATACGATATTGAAAACTTCAAGAAAAGAGGTTATTCCTTTTTAAAAGGCCGACAACGTACTTGCAATTCCCCTCGTGTTGCGGGTTCTCATGGGCGGCGGTAATCACTTACCATCAGGTGAGCCGCATGCGCGTTTGTCTCCTGTGTTTTCATCTGCGCAGAAGTCTATTGTTGAACTCGTACACTATAGCCATCTTTTACACAGTCCATCCATCTTTTTCGGTCTTCTCTGCCCTTATAACCATCCACACTCATATGCAACACCTTCCTTAATTAATTTGATATGAATTTTTTTAAGATATGCCAAAGGAACCACGATCTTCATTCCTGTGTTGGGGACACAATGCATAAAATACGTATGTCTACAATCTACAATGCATTACCTCTCCGACACCAGCGCCACTTCTCACTCTTCATACTTCCTCTAATATTTTCTTTATCATCTCTATTCTTATCACACCACACATTTGAAGATTGATATAGTCCAACAATATAGTAAATAACATAATGGCCAATCTGTCAACCACAATATCGTTATTTACCGCCAATTCTAATTCAATTCCACAAAAAAGGAAGCCGAACACGATTGAGCAATTGTTAGGCTCCGAGCGGGCAATTGCACAAATCCTCGTAACGAGGAAATGGCCTAATTTATTTCTAGTTTACCCACACTAGTTGTTTGCTTAATTAAATTCGTGCGCCATATTGCTATTTTTGCAAACAGTTATATGCACTTATACATGTTCAAAACAAATCAAATTAAACGATTTGTTATAAAACGCGTTGTCTTATCACAAAAAGATAAATCTGGTTTAGCGCTAGTAATAAACCATTGACCAAAGTATTCCTTATTACAAAACGAAGTTTATCTCTAAACCGTGATTCATCTATGATCTAAAGTTAGAATACAATAGAATAGAAAATAATTTATTCAAATAAACTTAATTTAAGCACTCGTTCGGAAAGCTGTCTCATCACAAGAAGAACGAACTATAAACTTGTGTGTTGCTCTTTTAAATAATCCTTGTAAGTTTACATTTTAGTTGCGGCCCGGGCCGCGTGATGCGTATCCCTGATGTGCGTATATCTATTGTGTAGGTACTAGGATATTAGTAAACCATACAATTATGATATATTTAAAAAAAATACTAAATATTATTTGATAAATCTTATATATTCTTTATTGCAATTTTAAATACAAAAATTAAAATATTAGAAATTTTGTCTTGATGAAAGGAGAACTTATCTCTAATAGCGATCTCTTCCAATCAACATAAAACAGTGTAACACAGGAAGTGATGTGTGGGTCACAGAAGTGCAAACAATATATATAAGAAAACATAGAAATAGAAATAGAAATAATCTTTATTCAAATAAACTCATTACAAGCACTTTTGAATAGTCATATTTTGATTCTACCACTCATTCGGAATGCAGATTCATCACAAGAAGAACGAGCAAGAAACTTGTGTGTTGCTCTTTTTACATTTTAAAACATTAAAAAACAACAAAAACCACTTTATCAAATGATTCTTAGTTAGTTAGTTTACAGTTAGACCTGCGCCCTTGCCCCTTTTTTGTAAGAAAACCGACTACATTTTATGATAAATCGTTTTTTGAACTAACTACCGTCCTTATAAGCATCCATGGTTAGATGAAGGCTAAAAAAGAGATGAATGGACTATCTGAAAGACGATACGGTAAGAAAGGGAGTGAATAACGAGATGACTACGAACAGACATGAATGGAAGATAAAAAAATATTACGCCGACCACAAATAAATGGGATAATGAAGAAGCAGGTGATGATGATCAAATATCATTTTAGCCGCTTATGAACGTAATATTTTTTTTTTTTTTTCAAATCGGAAGTACTGGCAAGAAACTCAACTGAACTTCTTTTTTTTTTAAGCAGTTTCTTTACATTGTGCACTTATATAAGAGTATATGTCTAACATTAAGTGAAAATCCCGTACATGAACAACTATTATCATACACGTTTATCAAAAATCAAAATAAAATATCTTTATTCCTGTAGGTGCATTATAAACTCTTATCATATGTCAAATCTACGGTCAATTCGGGGTGTTTTCCAGCTAAGAAGAAGAAGAAACTCAGCTTTTTTTTATTATTCTATTAAATATTGAGGGTTATTCCGGAGATTCCACCCCCATCGGTACAAAGCTCTTATTATTTTCAAATGAACTTGTACGTATTCAAAAATTCAGATTCATTTTTAAATTCATATTAGGCAGAATAGAGTGATCGCCGGCATATACTATTGCAATTTTGTCAAAAGCAAATAGTCTAATCAGTGTTCGTAACCAGAATAGCCCAGTCCCCTTTAACGGCACCCGTTCACGAGTATGACGGATTGTTGTTAAGTTAATGTTATAAAGTTTTTACATTAAATATCCTATAAAAATAATGATTTATTTCCCAGTTGGTGAGCCATATAAGATATACATATATGTTTTTACCAGGTTCCGAAATAATTCGCCAATATTTCATGCTTCCTTGTTTCCGATGGTCGTGAGTTCGATTCCTAGCATGATGTAAACATTTGCATTAATGAGTATAATTGTATTGTTCGGAGTGTTTTAAATGTATCTTATGTATTTTAATGTTTCTATCAGTTATCTAATTCCTTTACTACTGGCTCTGCTTAGTCTGTCACTAGATGGGGCTGTGAATTGTTTATGGCTTTTAATTTTATCAAATTTGGATTAGTTTAATAACGTATGGAAGATAAACGATTACTTATATGTATAATTACTAGTAATATCAATACATCTACAGCCGATAATAATCTATACATATATAAAAATTAGAGTGTCTGTTTGTAATATTGAAATAACCGTTTTTTACTACATGCATGTGATTATTAATACGGTACATACACCAAAATAACGTTTTACCATTTTTGTCTGTCTGTCGGTCTGTTTGATTAGATATAGATTTGGTTTGATTTAGAAAAGCATAAAGTATAAAAATTTGTTTTATTTATCAGCATTAATAGTATCGATACCTTTACGATTAATAATACCTGGCTATTATACATTCCTTCATAAAAAGCCAGCAATGCACTTGCAATTTCCTTTGTTTGGGTGCTCGTAGGCGGCGATAAATTTTTGCTTTATAGTATAAGGGACAACAGAGCCGCAAGCTCTTTTGTCCCTTATACAGTATAAGGGACAAAAGAGAAAACAAAATAATACATAATCTGGCACAACATCCGGTGAGATATATACATTCCTCTATAGTATTAAGATAAAAATAGATGTTATTAGATCATAAATGGATATTCTCTGTTGTTTTTCAGACGACTATTGGCTTTGGTGACCGCGCCATAGACGAAGAGTGTCCTGAGTCTATATTCCTATTCATAATGCAGGTAAATTTTACATACTTACTAGTTAATCTGTTTTGTCAGCGTTATATTTTCCTTAATTTGCAACATTTGTCATTGCAGCTCCCCTCCTATTGGTAACAGCGTGATGTTATAAATCCTATAACTTTCCATGATAAATGGGCTATCCAAAACTGAAAGAATTTTCAAAATCGGATCAGTAATACAGGAGATATCCCCGAATATATAAACTCACAGATTTTACCTTTTTTAACTTTGTTTAAATAACCTGACAATGTCCTGTCTTAACTATAAAAACCATGCCTGAAAACGCTGTACAGGTACTCCTCATAGTGGTTGTGCTTTTATCAGCAACAGATGAGGCAGCTCCTATTGCCAACTTTATATTTTTTCCTTTTTTATTTTGTGTATTCTCAGCAATTTATTTAATGTTGGCAATAAACGGTTGTATCTAACATTTATCTATCTAAATAGATAGATAGATGAGACAAACACCAAGTTAGACAATTTATATTAATAGGTGGGAAATAAAATGTTTCCCGACCTAATATTTTTTTTTACCGAGACTTTGTTTTTATTGTGCTTAGACCTGTAGCACTGCTGCATAGCGCTCGCCTTTTTTCAGAGTTATCTATAGAGCAACAATATAGAGTTGTATGTATAGTTATTGATGAATTATAAATTTTAAACGTATCTCGTTTTTAAATTATTTTTTAGTAAAATCAAAGAGAAATAATTTTAATTAAATGTTCAAAAACGCGCGAAATAATCAATAAAAAATAGTTAAATGCAATGCATCCCGATTGCGCGCGTTTAAAGGCAGCTAATGATATATTTTTATTTATTTATCTATTTATTCATCCATGCATTCATTCATTCATTCATTCATTCATACATTCACTCATTCATACATCCATTCATTCATCCATTCATTTATTTATTTAATTCAGGCTTCTAATGGCCCATAGTATAAATACCTTACAGACTAACATACATACGAATAATATAATTAATAGAAAAAAATATAGAATTTGTTTAGTGAGTATTACGTAAGCGTATGGGGGGGGGGGGAAGGAAGGATCTTTGCTTTGCTTATTTTGAATGACTCTAGATGATGATTGGTAGTTATTTACTTTGGCAACCCTCACATTGCCTTTGCTAAAAAAACAATACATTAATTGAAAAATGTAGAGCTTTTCTTACTTTTGCTGACAAGGGGAATGGGGGTAAACAATTGTAATATACCTGCTTACGTAATACTTGAAAGGCCCCTGTGATCACGGCATTGATGACGGTACGCCACGGTAGCGCCGATACACCATGTCCTTCGGCCAGTAATCCTCCTTCATGAAGGTTGTCAGCATATTGGTGGGAACTCGGGCAAACGCCTTGAAACTCGCGTTGCGACTCGATTCCAGCTGCGTCACCCTCAATGTCAGGTTACTGGTCGGTATTTAGTCGACAATATCCTAATATTTGTATAAAGACTTGCAATTGTTTTTTTTTCCAGCTCATATTAGGCACAGGTTTGTCTGGGGTACTGACGTGTGTAGTATATGCAAAAATAACAAGACCAGAGAAACTGTCTCGAGACGGCGTCGGCTTCAGTAAGAAAGCTGTTGTAAGTAGAAATATATTGATACCTTAGAAGGAATATCCTTATATCTACGGATACGGATACGCTGCTTGTTATTGTATAATCTAAATATATATAACTCAAAGGTGACTGACATAGTGATCTATCAACGCACAGCCCAAACCACTGAACGGATCGGGCTGAAATTTGGCATGCAGTTAGATGTTACGATATAGGCATCCGCTAAGAAAGGATTTTGATTAATTCTACCCCCAAGGGGATAAAATAGGGGATGAAAGATTGTATGAAACTTTGTTAATTTTAAACCGATCGGGATAAGACTTTGCATGCGTAAAGCTACTATGACGTAGGCATTTAGGTAGGCATAAGGCAGAAAGGATTTTGATAAATTCCACCCCTAAGGGGATAAATTAGCAAAAGCTAGTTATTTATATAAAAAAAAGTCGCACTGAGCGGTTCGCATCGTTTTCCTTTCTAATACGCATTGACAAAGAGTGGAACACACTTCCAGCTTTTGTGTTCCTGGAGGAATACAACTCCTGATTCTTCAAGTCTATGGTGAATAGATTTCTTCTTCATTATTAAAAAAAAAAAAACAACATCTATTCAAAAGAGCAACACACAAGTTTCTTGCTCATTCTTCTCGTGATGAATCTGCATTCCGAATGGGTGGTAGAATCAAAATATGACTATTCAAAAATGCTTGTAATGAGTTTATTTGAATAAAGATTATTTCTATTTCTATTAACAACCTTGTAATGCAACTAAAGTGATTAATGGAAAATGGCAAGAGCTCCGCCGACATGAGCGCGGCTCTGAAATTATAAAGGAATGAATATTATTCTAATATCTAAGCTATATTATTTTAAAGTTTCATTAAAATCCAGTCAGCACTTATTGTGTGAAAGCCCTGCCCGTGATTACATCCGCGTGAAATTTACAGCAATTTTGTTGCAAAGTTTAATTAAAATCCATTTAGTAGTTTTTGCGTGAAAGAGTAACAAACATATACACACACAGACTTCTGCATTTATAATATTAGTAACATAATTATTACATGTATATTTCAGATCAGCATGCGTGACGGCCAGCTGTGCCTGATGATGAGAGCCTGGGACCTCAACTATGATCACATCATCAGCTCCGAGTTCACTGCCCACTTCGTCAACACCCACAAGTAATAATAATAATAACCCCAGGACATATTACACAGCGCCATCTAGTCCTAAGCTAGGCAGAGCTTGTGTTATGGGTACTACACAACTGATATAAATACACAGATTTTTTGTACATCTCTAGAATTAAAATGTTTGGACTGTGCGAGAATTGAATCCGCGATAATTGGAAGTGAGGCGGTGTGCTAAACACCTAGACCACCAAGACTGTCAACAAATCAAGTACATATCAATTTATATTTCTACATTTTTATATTAACAACTAGCTACTCGCCCGGGCTTCGTCCGAGTGTACATGTATACATATAAACCTTCCTCTTGAATCGCTCTATCTATTAAAAAAAACCGCTTCAAAATCTGTTGCGTTTTAAAGATTTAAGCATACATATGGACGGACAGACAGCGACAACGTGTTTTATACTATGTAATGATTATAAAATTACAAGAATTACAAGTTAAGAGGCACAAGATCTTAGTCCTCGTTCATCGTTGTAATTTCAATTACTTTTTTATTTGTAATTTAAGCTTCCAAGCTGTATCTGAACTCTATGAAATGCCTGATGATGCTTCGTTCAGAGGCGAAACACGTATCGCAATATGGGTGTAGTCTATCTACACCCATACAGTGATAATATATCTTACGGTCGAAATTTGATTGCCATTAGAGAAGGTCTTTCATTCGGTGCGGAAACTTAACTACCGTTACATAGTCATGTTTCCACACTGAATATTTGTAGTCTCACACAACCTAGAATAGAATAGAATAGAAAATCATTTATTCAAATAAACTTAATTTAAGCACTTTTGAATAGTCATAACAATTTGTTTTTTATCTACCACTCGTTCGGAAAGCTGTCTCATCACAAGAAGAACGAGCAAGAAACTTGCGTGTTGCTCTTTTAAATAATTCTTGTAAGTTTACATTTACAAGTCGTGTAATAATAATTGTAGTGTAATTAAACAAAATAATATATTAAATAGTTTGTATATAATTATTAGGGTATGGATTTTAATATATTTCTTTGTTATATCCAACAGAACAAAGGAAGGCGAAACGATACGTTTCTTCGCACAGTCGCTGGCGATACAACAGCGACAGTTTCTGTTGTGGCCGGTCACACTGGTACATGTGATCAACAACACCAGTCCTCTGTATGGACTCTCACCAGAACAGATTAACAGCAATAAGTAAGTACAACCCTTTTTTTTACTTGGAGAAAATCCCTCATGGAGACCCGCCAGCCCCGGAGGAGGCAAGCGGGTACTGTGAGACTCCTACTCACTAAAAACTCCAAGATGTCCCTCACCCAACGCCATATGCCGGAGTCGCGGGATCGATAACAGTCAACCGACGGCGGTGGCCCACTCTACAGCGGGCCCCATCTCTGCGGGTTCCCTTTGGAACCCACCACTTCCCCATCTTCCCTGGGGAAGGCGCGCGGGGACATGCGCCTGACTTCTTCGGGCCTAAGTAAGTTCAACCCTCCACCAACCCATGGCCATTCCAACCTCTCGGTTATACGGGCCGAATCTACTGGGAATGCGCGCTGAAAAGCAATTCTTGACCCCTACAAATTATTTCAACTTCTGTCCCTTCTGTCGCACTCTCCCCCTTCTGGGGCAGCGGACGAAACATGAACGGCTTCAATGCCGGGCAGTTCTCCTTCTTCAGCAGCATCCTCTCTTCTTGAACGCGTACTACCGTCAGTCCTTTCGTACTCCACGTCTGGAGCAACTATCATTTTAATTAATTTCAGTTACGAGATAACTTTAAGCCTGAAAGGTGCCTCCGCCTCTATGGGCACGTTCACTCAGAGTCAGACCTCGTACCTGCCCAAAGAGCTGCTCTGGGGACACCGGTTCCTACCTGTTGTCAAGTAAGTTCAAGTTCAAGTTCTTTTTACAGTAAAATCTATATGACCCGCGCAAATTGTCTGCATCCACATTACTAATCCCCTTTCCCCCCAATTGGCAGGGCTAGCTCGAGTTGTTATATATGTATGGTTTATTATGATTTTAGGTATGATAGTCGCAAATTGAAATATGTGATAGATCATAGTAAGCTGAACAGCACGGAAGCCGTCGACACGCCATTATGCAGCGCCAGCCATCTGGACAGGTAACTATTAATCTAACTACCTACTGTGGATGAGATATTTTTTAATGGATGATAATGGAATGGTGCATTTTTATTACTAACAACTTTATTCTATTTTAAATACGGAAGTGTGTCTTTCTGATTGTTATATTATATTTTATTGATGACTAAGCAACTGAACAGATCTTAAGGAAACTTGGTATGAATCTATACATATAAATAAAATTGGAGGTTCTGTTTGTAATATTGAAATAACCGTTTTTTACTACAGGCATATGAATATAAATACGGTACATACACCAAATTAACATTTATTACAATTTTTGTTTGTCTATCTGTCTGTTTGTTCTGGCTAATCTCTGAAATGGCTGGACCGGTTTTGACGGGATTTTTTTTGGCAGGTAGCTCATGTAATAAAGAGTAACTTAGGCTACTTTCATTTAATAAAATAAAGTTAAAATCCACGCGGACGAAGTCGCGGGTACAGCTAGTAATTAAAAAAAAAGTACGTCGTAATATTATTAAAGTAATAACAATATAAGTACATATAAAATAATACGAAACATCACTTGTATTGTATGTTCTAGTTTATTAAAAGAGAAGACAGAACCGGATATCCGGGCCAGTAGCCCGAGCAGTTTCAGCGACAGGATTTCCTCCTTCCAGTTCGAAAAGACTTCATCATTCAAGAGGAAAACCAATAAATTATGAAGCCGGGTGTTCAGACACGGCTATTACACAGCTAGGACTTTTAGTCTGTAATTTTTTTATTTGACTGTACTGGACTGGCGGCCTCTTGATGGTAAGTGGCAACAGTCGTGAACAGTACACATGTACATTATGTTAGTAGCTATAGAACTAATATATTATGCCTCTTATCCTGCAATTTCATTTGTTTTTACTTTATTTCATGACAATCCTTCAAATATTTCTGTCCTCCAAATATTTTTCTTACATTCTTGTCTAATGATATAAATATGAAAAATGACAATCCACTATCAGTTCCTTACAACAGTTTTTTATATGAAAGTTGATGGATGTAAAGTTAGAGGATGGCCGAAGAAATAGAAATAATCTTTATTCAAATAAACTCATTACAAGCACTTTTGAATAGTCATATTTTGATTCTACCACTCATTCGGAATGCAGATTCATCACAAGAAGAATGAGCAAGAAACTTGCGTGTTGCTCTTTTGAATAGATGTTTTTTTATATAAATAATTACACAATAACAAATAAGAGGCATGCGATAATCAACATAGAAACCGCTACACACTCATTTTTAGTGCAATCAGATAATATTGTCAGAGCTATGGACTTTAATTTTTATAAAATAAATAAAAAGGCGGATGACTATGTGAATGGAAATACTAAATGCAGAGTAAGCTCAGACACGACAGCTGATAGTGATGAATTTAAAAAATATGACACGTGTATCCACACTATATTGAAAATATTGGGATGAGGGCAATGCAATGATGAATTAGGTTCGAAATAAGTAAATGGGACACGAATAATGAAGAAAACTAAAATAATTAGATATATATTCAATTCACATTATGGTAGATTTGACATATCATAAGAGTCTGTAATAGACCTACATGAATAAAGATATTTTGAATTTGAATTATTAAATCTTTTATTTGATACAAAGTGTGGTGGATAATATTATATATGTATGGATATATATATATTTGTATGTCGGTTCTTTATGTGCATAAAGCTATTACATCTACTCGATAACTATAAAATAAATATATGCAAAAAAGAGTAAAATAAAATCGTATATTTTTCTTATGACAAAATTAAAAATTAAATCTATGTACATTCTTTTTAAAGTAAAAAAGTGCCTTTTAAATGGCCAGCAATACACTATGGAGTCCACAACATAAAAAAGGCAAGGAGTGTAACTTTTAGAATATTTATTTCCGTTTTTACATTACAAAAAATAACCATTCTGTGAAATTTAGACCCGCAACGTTGATAATTACTGTTAACATCAAACGCCTGACAAAAATGTATCAGCAAGAAAATTCAAAATAGAAATATAATATTATTTAACGACAGGCACCGCAGAATTACGTATACCTTTTAATCTATAATGAACTATAAACTAAACAATTTAGATTTAAATTTTCCAACCTACTATTTATTAATTCTAGATAATCACTTGTTTATTCATGAGTCATTTATATTGATAATAGTATACAGTTATAATAGGTACATTTACTTTACTGTACTGCCCAGTAGTTGTCATTATTCTTGATAAAGTATACATATATTATTGCAAACTATTTATAAATACTCGTATTGTGACCCTACGTTGATAAGAGAAGTTTATTACATTATCATACAATCTAGGTATTACAATAGAAGTAAGTATCCACAGTCGTAAACACAAATATAAAGTAAATAAAAAGGAAAAACAGATAGCTAATCTCACTACATTGAATCGCTTAGAAATAATAAAATAGTGATTTATTATTTCTAACCATTATTATTATTCTATTTTTTGAAAGATAATGTTAAATTTGTACACAAACGGGATATTTATAAATTAAATATTATTTATATGCCTTCCGATATTTAATAAATCATTTGAAATAATAAATAACCAGGACGAATTTTTGGGGCGTAGAAATTTCGAGAACCTAAATATTTCGAAAGAGAGAGAAGAAACAACCCGTTTATTCATTGTATCATTAATCAATTAAATTACCATTATTAATCAACTATGGAAAAAAATAAAACTATGTAAAAGTTTTCATTATTAAAATAATAATTAAGAATTCCATAAATTAATAATATTAACTATTATTTATGTTATTAACCGGGTCACGAACTAATTTTATGGCAAATAAAGGTATTTACCTCTCTCGACGTTTCGGCTAGGTTGCACTAGCCGTGGTCACGAGCTGACTGGTGTAACAGCGATGTTAAAACCCGGTTAATAATATAAATAATGTATATTAAACACGAAAGTTTAAAAATAACTATAATATTACTAGTTCTAAACTAAGCATAGTTTGTATGTACTACACAACTGACACAACTTTTGTATACATTTTTGTTTTTAATAATATACACTCAAAATACAAATAAACTTACACGCAGTCTAATATAAACTCATACTCATGAATGCTTGTATTATTTGAGAATCGAACCCGCGATCGTCGTAATTAGAGCGGCATGCTAAACCGCTAGATCACTAAGGTCATTGTGATCTTCAAAAGTAGGTACGTAAGCGTCTCTGTCATTTAGTACGATCAATATTAAACCGTAAATGTTGGTAGACACTTGAATAAACAGAAATAAATGCTCAAATATTTGCATTCCATATGTATTCTAGGTCATAATTGATCAAAATATATAACTACAAATATATCGTTATCTTGTACGGATAAAGGTGCGCCTCTTATCTCCAGTTGATAATATAACTTATTGTTCAGAAACTTAGCATTATATTGTACGTTTCCAAGGTGCTTCATAGTTTTAAACGTGAACTTGTTAAGTTAATTGTGCTCGATTGATAAGAAAATGTAAACAAATTGTTATTATGCTGGGAAGATTCATCACAACTCTCGCGCTGAGTAAAAGTGATGTTTCGTTTTGTGTTTTAATCACAAACTTTTACAAACGTTGACTATTTGAATTTGATAACAAAAACTTTTGTAATATCAACTGCAAAATCTGTGTTATTTATTTAATAGTTCAAGTTTGAAGTGAATATCAAATCAGAAATCATTTATTCATGTAGAACATTTTAGACGTTTAAGAACGTTAAGTTTTGCGTATCAATATTTTTCCCCTACCGTCCAGTTCAGTATACAGATTCAATTGAGAAGAACTGTCAAGAAACTAAACAGATTTTTTAAAAATCTGATAGTAAAAATGAATTTCGACTTAGAACCGGAGAGACGAGGCAGTCGCTCCCGCGCATTGGAAAGATCACTCAGCTATTCTGCAGCTATAGGTAACAACTCAGTTAGATCCTCAATAGAAATCCCATCTATTGTAAATACAGAAGTCTATACCAATGAAGAGTTAAAGAAGCACTACCGTATCTCACAAACTTATGTAGAAGGCAAAGAGATATACTTTCCAACTCAAACTAACAATATTGAGAATAATGAAGGCGTTCCGTTAAGTCAAGATGATACAGCAACAGATGCGTCTATGTCGTCACTAGAAGACGAAAACACGTTTACTGGACTAACACTAACTATAGATGTCGAACATGACAGCTCTAAATCTACAGGCACGAGGCATATATCAAATGCTTCTACACAACCAGTCATGAGCTCCACAGTTCCTAGTTTACCAACGGAGTTGTACGATGAGATAGCAATGGATAATATTTATGATGAAAATGAGACAGTAACAGCATCCGCTCATGGGTACTCGACGCCGTATACGAGGAGAAGGAAGAAAGGTACTCCTAGGTAAGATCTAATAGTTTATTTGTTTGTAATTGACCCTAATTTTAATGTATGTAACGCTTTGTGTGACTTGAATTCAGATAATATTGTCTCTTGGCGTAAATATAAATAGACTAAGTATATATGTTTAGATAGACACTAGACAATAGACAATAATTATTTATTTGTATTTGAGAACTCTTCTTGATAATTCTGGATCTAGCTCTAGAAAATATCTTGATAGTCTGAAGTTAGCTAATGACATACTAGAACGTAAGGATTATGAAATTTTAAACGATTTTTTAATAACTTAACTTAATTAATTATTAGCCATATCTAATTATAACACAAGAAGTAAAGACAAACTTGTTACATAAAAAACAAATTAGTAAATCTTTTAAGTAGGGATTACCAATGAAGCTAATGATTTATAATCGATAGCAAATTTTGAAATTTAGAAATACAATAAGTATTGTTTTTAAAATAATCCATTTTATCACATTTGTGAATAACCATCAAAGCCAAGATAGCTATATCAAAGATTAAGGAAAAAATTGGAGTCTTGTAGTATCAACAACTAAAGATATTGATGGAAGATCATGGAAAATGCAAGAGCTCCACCGACAAGAGCGCGGCTCTTAAATTATGGATTAATAGCAAAGTCAAATTTAAATTTTTCGACTTATAAATTTTTAACTAATAAGCTAAATGTAACCTGTTTTTACATCGAAATAAATAAATCTTAAATCTGAATGAATATCATCATTCATCATCAAAATTTCTTTATTCATATAGGTCTATTACAGTTGCTTATATGTCAAATCTACCGTCAGTACGGAGTGATTTCGAGCTGAGAAGAACTGACAAGAAACTCAGCTCTTATTATTTTCAAATAAAGTTGTACAGGTTTACAATAATACAGATTCATTTTTAAATTCAAATTTCGTATAATAGAGTGACCACTAGCATATGCTATAGCAATTTTGTCAAAAGCAAATAGTCTAATCTGTGTTCGTAACCCGAACAGACCAGTCCCCAGACGCAGCACCAGTTCACGAATATAACGGATAAGCCAGCTATCATTGCACTCGACCATTGACCACTTGTCTTAAATGAAAAAGGAATAATGTATTGGTGTTGTCTGATTTCTTCCGTTTCTTACTTAAATTGATAAGGGAGTTGAGTGACATAGAGAACAGTGTCTCTAGTACGCATAAATTGACATAAATTCTTATAACGACTAGAATATGACTCAGTCTTATGTTTATCTTGAATTTGGATAAGATAGAAGCATTACCTATAGTGATAAAATAAAATATTACTAGTTTTAATAAAAATATATATGTAGTGTAAAAGACTTTAGGTTTACACTATCCTTGATGTGAAGCCAAATCTCGAGGTCCTTGGCGTTGATATATCCAGTGACGTTCAGTTTTGCGGTCATTTGGAGGACAAGGCAAAAATTGCCTCAAAAAAAATTAAGTGTGCTCAGTAGAGTGAGACTGTATTTCACGGTGGTCCATCGCTTGCAATTATACATGGCGCAGATCCGGCCGCATATGGAATACCGTTCTCATCTCTGGGCGGGAGCATCACAATACCAGCTACTTCCATTTGACCGCATTCAGAACCGAGTAGCCAGAATCATTGGTAATCAACGTCTATGTGACAGACTCGACCCATCGGCTCTGCGGCGAGATATTGCATCTCTGTGCATTTTCTACCGCATATATCACGCAGAGTATTACTTACCATTAGGTAAAGCTTACGATATTGAAACCTTCAAGATAAGAGCTTATTCCTTTTTAAAACGCAGACAACGTACTTGCAATTCTCCTGGTGTTGCAGGTGCTCATGGGCGGCGGTAATCACTTACCATCAGGTGAGCCGCATGCTTGTTTGTCCCTTGTATTATAAAAAAAATGTAGTTTAACACTGCAATATGCAGAGACTTGTAATAACACAAAATTGCAGAGAAACTGACATACAAAGAGGGAACAAAGCTTACAAATCAGCAGGGATGTCACTACAAGAATCTTGTACAAGTATATAGATAAATTCTTTATTCACCAATTACATACACATAACATACATAATATACAGAAAAATACAGATACATATATAATATATATATGTATAACTAAGAACCTAAAATTAAAAATATCTTTATACATTGAGGTCTATTACAGACTCTTATGATATGTCAAATCTACCGTCAGTTCGGAGTGATTCCGAGATGAGAAGTACTGACAAGATACTCGGCTCGTATTCTTTTAATCGTAATGTAGGTGACTTTATGTTTGCAAGTACGAGCTTATAAACAAAAACACCTTTAAATAAAATAAAAATACACTTTGGCGTAGTTAAGGAAATTTAATTACGAGAATGTATTATTTTTATGAAGTTTCCAATTTTATATATCTATTTAAAGTTGGAGAATCAAATTGAATATATGTTTTTTATGTCCTTTCCTACAGGACAATTTGTTTGGAGATTATCAACCTAACGAATAATATTATCTATACATATAAATAAAATTGAAGTGTCTGTTTGTAATATTGAAATAACCGTTTTTGACTACATGCATATGAATATAAATACATACACCAAAATAACATTTTTTATAATTTTTGTCTGTCTGTCTGTTTGTTCCGGCTAATTTCTGAAATGGCTGAACCGATTTTTACGGGATTTTTATTGGCAGGTAGCTGATGTAACTAAGGTTCCTTTTATTTTAGAAATATTATTTTAGTTTAGAAAAAAGTAAAGTTAAATTAAAGATGAAGTCGCGGGAACAGCCAACAGTCAATGTCGGTTACATTGACATCGCTGTTACTCCAGTCAGCTCGTGACCACGGCTAGTGCAACCTAGTCGAAACGTCGAGAGAGGTGAATACCTTTATTTACCACAAAATTATTGGTATTAAGACCCTGTTAATAATATAAATAATGGGAGAAAATGCTGATGTTAAGTCCGCCATGTGTATTATAGTTTTAACAAATAAATGTTAAGTTATTTTTATTTTAAGTAACTGGAAAACAGTTGTGCAAAATTTCAAATAATATTTCAGACGTCGACATGGCAGACGGATGCGATCACGGCGGGTGGTCCAAAAAAATGGTGAAGAAAACGTACCGGTCAGAAGTAACATACCTTCCAAGTCTATTAAATATATGAGAGACATCGTCAATACAGTGGTATGTCTCAATATAGAAATATTATTAAAACACTAATATTTAAAAACTCAGCTAGTTTTATTAAAGATAATAACAAACACGGACAATGTCGCGTGGTATTATTAATCTCAGGACAATTCACACAGCGCCATCTAGACCCAAGTTAAGCTATATATACTACATAGCTTATGTTATGGGCATTGGAAATCAGTAATTTGACAATTAACACAGCCCCATCTAGACCCAAGTTAAGCTATATATACTACATAGCTTATGTTATGGGCATTGGAAATCAGTAATTTGACAATTAATACAGTGCCATCTAGACCCAAGTTAAGCTATATATACCACATAGCTTGTGTTATGGGCATTGGAAATCAATAATTTGACAATTAACACAGCGCCATCTAGATCCAAGTCTAAGCTATATATACCACATAGCTTGTGTTATGGGCATTGGAAATCAGTAATTTGACAATTCACACAGCGCCATCTAGTCCCAAGTTAAGCTATATATACTACATAGCTTATGTTATGGGCATTGGAAATCAGTAATTTGACAATTAATACAGTGCCATCTAGACCCAAGTTAAGCTATATATACCACATAGCTTGTGTTATGGGCATTGGAAATCAATAATTTGACAATTAACACAGCGCCATCTAGATCCAAGTTAAGCTATATATACCACATAGCTTGTGTTATGGGCATTGGAAATCAGTAATTTGACAATTAACACAGCGCCATCTAGATCCAAGTTAAGCTATATATACCACATAGCTTGTGTTATGGGCATTGGAAATCAATAATTTGACAATTAACACAGCGCCATCTAGATCCAAGTTAAGCTATATATACCACATAGCTTGTGTTATGGGCATTGGAAATCAATAATTTGACAATTAACACAGCGCCATCTAGATCCAAGTTAAGCTATATATACCACATAGCTTGTGTTATGGGCATTGGAAATCAGTAATTTGACAATTAACACAGCGCAATCTAGATCCAAGTTAAGCTACATATATATACCACATAGCTTGTGTTATGGGCATTGGAAATCAGTAATTTGACAATTAACACAGCGCAATCTAGATCCAAGTTAAGCTACATATATATACCACATAGCTTGTGTTATGGGCATTGGAAATCAGTAATTTGACAATTCACACAGCGCCATCTAGACCCAAGTTAAGCTATATATACTACATAGCTTATGTTATGGGCATTGGAAATCAGTAATTTGACAATTAACACAGCCCCATCTAGACCCAAGTTAAGCTAGCTAAAGTTTGTGTTATGGGTACTAAATAACTGATACAAATACATAGATATATTTTTTTTCGTAAATACATTACATTACAACATTATACACAGAAAACACCCAGATCATATATACATACAAACAAACATACTCATATACATTGAACCCACGGCCATCGGAAGCATGCTGTGTGCTACACCGCTAGACCACCGTGGCCGTACCAATTCCTTCTTTCAACGTTATTCTTTTCTCAAACAGACAGACCAAACAGACCAGTCCCAAGCAGCACTCGTTCACGAGTTTAGAATTCGCAATATTTTTTATTCTACCTCTTATTCGGACCGTAGACTCATCACAAGAAGAATAAGAAAGGAACTTATTTTATTTATTTATTATCACAAAAATTTGCATCATATAATATTCTTACATTTGTAAAATAAAAATACACTTATATTTGCCGCGCTGAAATATATATATGTGGGATTTTCGCGAGTGAGACTTGAAGAAAAGTCTTAAAATATTTATTTACTAGCTGTACCCGCGACTTCGTCCGCGTAAAATAGTGACCTTGAGCAAATAATAAAAAATATATATTAATAATCTAACCCAATAAAAAAGTTTCATCGTTCTAGCTTCAAAAATGAAATTTCCATACATAATTCCATACAATTCAATCAACAGCCAAAAACTAAGTTTCAAACTACTATCTTTAAAATGAAGATACTTCCATACATACCATACATACATTACATCTCCCCTTTCAACCCCTTATAACCCTTTTTCTTGTTTTTTTTAATGCTACTTATATTAGTGTCATCATGTACCAATGATAAGATGTCGCTATACTGTAACCGTTTATGGCTGAGTCCTGTGGCGGTAGGTACTGATATTTTCTCAACAGCCTAAAAAATGGGTTTCAAGTTTCTAGCTTTAAAAAATGACAATACATGCATACAACATTTTAACTCCCCTTTTGACCCTTACAACCCATTTTCGTTAATTATATTTAATCAATACGAAAAAAAATAAGATTGAAGCTTAAACTTTTAAAAAATTCCTCTTTCAGTCTCTTAGAACCCTTTTTAGCATTAAAAAGTAACCTATGTCCTATCTCAAGATCTAGACTTTAAATTTCATTTAAATCAGTTCAGAAGTTTTGGCTTTTAAGACAAACAGACAGAGTCACTTTCACTTTCATAATATTAGTAAGGTACTTATTAAATAAACTGGCCCAAAATAGCGTAAGAAAAAAGCTTCATCGTTCTAGCTTCAAATATGACGAATTTCCATAAAAACTTTTATCTGCTATTTTATTTTACCCCTTGAATGGTGACAATGTGATATTTACAAATTTAAATGTCATATTTATTTATATTTAATAAACAGTTTAAACATTTCTTTAAATTCTTTTGAAAATTGGTGGTCCAGTTGGCCAATAACATAATAAAATTTTGTTAAATCAAAATAATAGATGTGATATTCTAAATTGCAAACTTCCCTCTACTTGCGCGAACCATATCTCTGACTCTACTGGCCAGAATGGAGAAACGCGTATTCCGAACCTGAATAGCTCGGATGGAACGGTAGATGTTGTTTCTTCCAAGGAAATGTTGTTCATATGTATTGACAACATTTTTAATATTATATGTTGTTTTATTCTTCAAAAATATTAATAATATGTTCTTACGCTCTTGTCCAAGAGCAGGGTCATCAGTTATAGGCTATACCAGGATTATATTTATGTATTTATAAAATAAAATTGCAGAGCAAACGTTTATTCATTTAAATTCATAAGGAGACAACGGATTGACAATAATCGCATGCGCGCTGCTTATACAAATGACATATATGTTTATTTATGACATATGAGCGTTAATAAGTCGCATATCTAGTACAATACTGGTGTAATTCAGAAATTAAAATTTTTTGAAAATAGACTTAATAACACAATTATAAAGTAGACTTTCCAAAATATCTAATTTTTTAGTTAAGCCATTATTATAATAAGTGTGTATTCAACCGCATAAAGATAACCTTGCATTACCATTTTCAACCCCTTACAACCCTTTTTTCGCATTAAAAAGTAGCCTATGTCCTTCCTCGGCGTCTAGACTATATGGGTACCAAATTTCATTTAAATCAGTTCAGTAGTTTTGGCGTGAAAGCGAGACAGACAGACAGACAGACAGACAGACAGAGTTACTTTCGCATTTATAATATTAGTAAGGATTTATTTACATGTTTACAATACAATACAATTTTTATATATTTCTATTATCTGTAGTCCCCAAACTAGGTCAGGCCTGTATCTTGGGGGCTGGGGCTTGGGCCTGGCGGAGCTTTAATTTTTTATTTACGTCTTACATCGTCTTACGTCGTTCTGTCAACTCTCTCAATTAATTTTTCTTTAATAAAACTGTAAAAAAATAAAATGCATAAATCCTCTTTCCATATATATATATATATATATATGATGACAGATTTTTTATGTTGTATGTTTATTTCAATTTCCCAGATCAATAGCAAATGGCGGTTTCTAATATTGGGCATGGTCTGTGCCCACTTCACTTTCTGGCTGTTCTTCGCTGCTATCTGGTACGCAGTCTCGTCATCATACCAGGATGATATTGGAGACGGGAAGGAGCACTGCATCACCGGAACATCATCATTTGCAGGACTACTGATGATGTCTGTGGAAACACAGGTGAGGAAGAGATGAACTTCTTAGAATTCTATTGATTCACGGTGCTGTGTCCATCGCGTGGCAGAGAGAGATACTTCGAGCAGTTTCCGTACTTGTCAGGTAGTTGAGTAGGTTTATTAAGCCCTTTTGCCGACATACCTCAACACTCACCGTCGTCGCTACTGTTTCTCTCTCAGCCCAGCCAAATCTTTCAGGAGCCTGGAAATCAGCTTTTGTTACTCGTTCTAGTTTATATATTATCTATATATAATATATATCTAGTCCTAGTGGTAACGTACTGCAGTTTTAGGCAGGCCAAGATCTTTTAGTATATAGAAGAGACATTTTACAAATTTGACAAACTTCGACTGCATAAAATTAACCATTTTTCGTTTATTAGTTCGTAATATGTATTTGTTTTTATTGCATTATCATTATTTGTTGGTACAGTATAGTTGGTATGGTACAGCGTACCATGGGAAACAAATATACCTAAAAACTGGTCCAGCTTAGGGAGTTCTACCAGTACTACACATGTAGTTTTTTTCGAATTTAAGAATATAACTGTCTGGAAGATGAATCACATAAAAACACACAACCTTTGGGATATCATATGCGTCCTTTAAAATAGTCCAGTCCAGATAAAAAAGGTTATTAAACTCGTGAGCGGGTCCTGCTTGTTGCTGCGTGCGAGGAACTGGTCTGTTCTGATAACAATCACTAAATTATTTAGCTACTTACCATTGCAATTTTATAATTTTGTTAATTTTGCTATTTGACAGTTTCTATTCACACAAAATCGTAAATACGTAATGCTGAATATGGGACACAGTCACCTAGATACATCAAAATAATAATTGCATTTAATAATGTCTAGTAAGACAAATTCAATATTGTCTACTAAGCACTGCTGTGTCTAAACTGTGTCACCCCACCTTACATTTTCCTATTGTTATTTAGTATATAAGATCATTATTTCTATGTACATATTGTCAGTTTATCATCATCTGTAATATACATCGTCTCGACCAACAACATCGTATTATTCACCCGCAACACTGAACAACATTTATTTAAAACAGCAACATTTTCTTCTTTTAGCTTGCCTAATACAAATCGGCTTTAGTGATCAGATCAGATAAGAGAACCCAATGGTCTGAGGCACTACGCCACAACGGCTCTTGTTCTGTTCAGTTCTAGACATCCACAAACTTATATGTTCTTAATACCACTTGCAGATGACAATCGGTTACGGTGCCCGATACCCCAGCGAGGAATGCCCTGAAGCCATCATAGTCATGGTATTGGAGGTATGAGATATTTTCAGCTACATTTACATATAAATATATATAACTCAAAGGTGACTGACATAGTGATCTATCAACGCACAGCCCAAACCACTGGACGGATCGGGCTGAAATTTGGCATGCAGGTAGATGTTATGACGTAGACATAACACACGCTAAGAAAATACTTTGATTAATTCTACCCCCAAAGGGATGAAATAGGGGATGAAAGTTTATATGAAACTTTGTCAATTTTAAACCAATCGGGCTGAGACTTTGCATGCATAAAGCTACTATGACGTAGGCATCCCCTAAGAATGGATTTTGATAAATTCCACCCCTAAGGGGATAAATTAACGCGAGCGATGCTGCGGGCAAATGCTCGTTCTAATTATAATTTAATAATAATTTTAGGAAAATTCACGCAGCGCCATCTAGTCCCAAGTTAAACTAGCTAAAGCTTGTGTTATGGGCACTAGCGGACTAACTTAACTTAATAACCTAACTTACCTAGAGTCCAAATATGGCAAAAAGAATGAAATTATCTGTACCCTAATGCTTTGAATGGTTGTTTTTACAGATTGTGGCTGGTACTGCTCTAACTGGAGGTATATCCAGTTTGCTGTTCACGAAACTGATCCGGCCGAACAGACATATGGCGTCAGTGGGATTCAGTAGGAAGGCAACGGTTGGTATTATCTTCATATATCTTGTTGTTCTATCCTCGGTGGTCTATCTGATGGGCGCAGGTTCGATTCCTCGCACGGTACAAACATTAGTATTCATGAATACGATTGTTGATATTGGTGTGTCTTAATATTAATACTAGATTGAAAGACAAACTTGCTGTCCCCAAGTATCGTTTAGAAAAAGTCAATAGTTCTTTTATGGGAGTAAGTATAAAAATTTATAATAAGATACCAAAGGATATACTGGAATTGCCCTTAAAGAATCATATTTACTGAGCAAAGCTTATTACTCAGTAAACGACTACTTGAATGACGAGCGTGCATGGCAATAGTTGTTCATGCACGGGATTTTCATTTAATGTTAGACGTAGACACCTATATAAATAGACATTGTAAATAAGTTGGCTTTAAAAAAAAGTAATTCAATTGACTTTCTTGCCAGTTCTTCTCAATTGAAGATTTCTCTACTGAACTGCATGACTGTTTGTATCGATCTGAATATTTTATATGTATATATTAAAAAATATATTATAAATTTGTATCAGTCGTCTAGTACCCATAACACAAGCTCTGTTTACTGTGGGTCTAGATCGCGCTATGTTAATAATTATCAAATTACTGATTTCTGATGTAGGTATGCCTCCGGGATGGGCAGCTGTGCTTGCAGTTCAGAGTGTGGGACCTCCAGAACCTACACATCATCAACAGCACTATAACAGCTTATATGTTGAAGCCTATCAGGTATTTTTTTTATTGGATGATTATTGAATGATGCTCTCGTACCCCGACCAGTACCCCGCCAGCGTAAACTGTTAACGCAGGGCTAACGGTTTACGCTGGCGGGGTACAGGTAGAAGATGATAAGATGAACATGAGTGTGTTAATTAAATAAATAAATAAATGAGCTCAGGTTGGGCCGTCGTGATAAATTCACGACCGCCCAACCTGAGCTCATTTATTGTGTAGTGACGAATTTATTATGATGGTTTCTAGAGATAACCGCAAAGAGGTCAACCTGATATGGTTAATTGTTAGCTATGAGGGGGTAGGGGGTTAGGGGTTATAAGTACCACCGGAAGGGGGAGGGCTCCCCCCCCCAGTGGTAGTACATTGGTAGCAATAGGGCCAGTAATGGGGTTACCATTACTAACAACTCTAAAGAGTTCGACGGAACTTTCGTTTTCCTTTTGGCTTGGGCCTAGTTTCAGCTAAAATATAAAAATTCTCAGAATAGGTTCTTAAACAACTTTTAAACCCTTGAGTGACAAGAGAGGTCCATCTATTTTTATTATTATTATTAATTAAACTTAATTTCTTCATTTAATATTCAATTCGAGAATTTAAATATACGCAATCCTAAATTTTCTACCTACTATCAACCCCTATTCTACTTATTTTATAATCATTTTTTACTCTAGGTGGTTGATAATAGATTCATTTATATGCCAAAACAATGTTTGCCGGGTCAATTTATCTACATACCAGCTACCCACCCCGGCTTCGCACGTACATGTATTATACATATAAACCTTACTCTTGAATCACTCTATCTATTAAAAACAACCGTTGCGTAGTTTTAAAGATTCAAGCATGTATAGGGACGGACATATAGTGACAGCGACTTAGTTTTATACTATGTAATGATGTAATAATACACTTATTTTTTGTTTCCAGTGTCGTTTATTTATTTCTTTTTTTTTTCAGGACTTTAGAAGGCGAACTAGTACAGAACTATATCCACCAACTGAAGCTGATACAAGCGAATGCTTTTCTACTCTGGCCAATAACTGTAGTCCATGTAATAGACGCTGAAAGTCCGCTGTTCGATTTCTCTGCCCAAGATATGATGGACTACAGGTAATTACTTCAGGTTTTCCTAGACTGAACTAAAAATTATAAATATTATGCACATTTGTTTTATAACGTTTATTTAAATCTAGCTATTTCCCTAATGCTCACTAAAATGTCAAGATTTGTGGCGGCGTGGTGGGCCGGGACATTGGGCTCCCTAAAATATGGTCGAGCGCAGTGATGGCTGGCTCATCAATCATACTCGTGAATGGGTGCTGCTTGTAGGGACTGGTCTGCTCTAATGACTATGACTGATTTCCTCTTATTGTTTAACGGGGATCGATATTATGACGGCCTGAGCCGATTTTCGAACCCCTAGTGGTGCCCTCAGACTAAAGTCTGTAATCCGTCAGGAAGGAGTTGGCCTTCAGCTGCTTCATAAGTCACTTCCTTGGTTTGGAGTGCCACCTGCACTCACCCCCTAACGTCCGGTGAAGCTGTAAAAGCCAACTGCGGCCAATAGCATTAGAGTAATCCAAAAGAACTTAAACTTAATAATGTAAAGTAAGAATAAAATTATTTAAAAGAGCAACACACAAGTTTCTTGCTTGTTCTTCTTGTGATGAGATAGCATTCCGAATGAGCGGTAGATTAAAAAAAAATGTTATGACTATTCAAAAGTGCTTCAATGTAACTTACAATGAAGCACTTTTAAATAGTCATCACATTTTTTTTTAATCTTTTATTTGAATAAATAATTTTCTATTCTATTCTATATTCTATTCATATTCTTTAACTTTTATTTTATTGTAGAGTATAATAGTTAAATTTTGAAAGTGTTGTGTTAAACTAGTCTAATTTAGCACTCAATCAGATTGGAGTTTAACACAGGAGAACGGTTTAGCATACTGCCTTACTTCCGATGGTCGTGGGTTCGATTCCTCGCACAGCAATAACATTTGTATTCATTAGTATGATGATTTGTATCAGTCTGGGTATTTTCTGGGTATTATTTGTATCAGTTATCTAGTACTCATAACACAAGGTTTTAACCCTTAACTTGGGTCTAGATGGCGCTGTGTGAATTGTCCTGAGGTTATTATTATTTGTATGTGCAGGTTCGAGATAGTGGTGTGCTTGACGGGTTCATCCAAGAATATGGGTACGGTGACGCAGAGCAGAACGTCTTTCCTATCGAAGGAGATAATGTGGGGATACAGGTTCAAGAACGTGTTGAGGTAAGCATGTCTTTAATACTAGAGAGACTATCGATAGGTCCTTCAAGTGTGTCGAAATTGTATAACGGAAGATCAGATCTTATCAAAATAAAAAAAAATACTCTGTTGATGGAAAACACCAATAACAAATGAAACTAACTCCATACCCTGTAATTGATGATATAATCAAAAATGTTTATCGTCACTGTTAAATCTTAAACTTAATCATATTTGTGAGTATGGATGTTTGCTACTCTTTCACGCAAAAATTACTGAACGAATTTTGATGAAACCTTACAGTAATATACCTTATACATAAATAAATAAATTTATAGGGGCTGAAACCGCGGGCACAACTAGTAATAGAATAAAAATAATAATATCTCACGACAGACAGAGCCATCTAGTCCCAAGCTAAGTAAATATACCGAACTGGACGGTAGGGGAAAAAAATTCTAATGTAAAAACTTGACGTTCATAAGAGGCTAACATGTAATACATGAATAAATGATTTCTGAATTTGAATTTGTATTTAAGCTAAGCTTGTTTTATGAGTTGAAATATTTTTTTTATAAAAACAAGACATTCAGACCGATACAAACAAACATACTCATGAATATAGGGGGATAGGGGTATGTTAGTAATGTGAGCTAGTGATCCCATAGCTAGCAATGTACCATGTCAGGTCGACCCCCACGCGGTTCCCCCTGGAAACCATCGTGATAAATTCCCGGTGAATTTGTCACGTTGGGGTTACTGACCTGACTTCATGTTCATCCTATCATACTCCACTGGTGCCCCGCCAGCGTAAACCGTTAGCGCAGGCGGGTGCACCATTCTATTATCATCCACTAAAAAAAACTCATGAATATAAATGTTTACCGCGCGAGGAATGGAACTAGCGACCATCGCATGTAAAGCGGTGTTAAACCGCTAAACAAAAAAATGCTGATTGTCAGCCATGTTGCCAACCATTGTATATAAATATTATAGATGTTTTTTTTTTGTATTTGTTCTTCGTGTGTATGTATGTGTGTGTATGTGTGCATGCATATATATATGTAAAATCTACCTATATCAAACGTGAAAATGTATATTTATATTAATAAAGGTTGTCAATAATTGTTTCATTCTTTCTTTCTTCTTTCTTCTTCTTTCTAAACCACCGGAACTATCCACCATATAACTATGTTTAATCTTGCAGATATTCAAAGAAACACGAAGCATACAAAATTGATGAGGATCATCTGAACACAGTCGAGCAAGTGGACACTCCACTCTGCAGCCCAAGCACGCTAAAATCTATCGAAGAAGACATCAAATCTTCTAGAAACATCCTGACCACACCAACAAACTTATCAGTTTCGCCTACAGACTTATCGTTGAGCCAAGATGACTCCTCCATCCAAGTAGGGGACTCTCTACCGTCGTCTCCGATTCTGAACAGGATAGCTGGAACCCAGAGAAGCTTAGGATGGAACTTCAGACGGTTTTATCCGGAGAAATATGTGCCAGGCCAGGAACAAAAACTGTGATAGAATTGTGATGAGATATTTTAATTTTAATTATTATAATTAAGGGAATGTATATACATATATAATAATATAACAGTTATCTATACATATAAATAAAATTGAAGTGTCTGTTTGTAATATTGAAATAACTGTTTTTTACTACATGCATATGAATATAAATACGGTACATACACGAAAATAACATTTTTTACAATTTTTGTCTGTCTGTATGTCTGTCTGTTTGTTCCGGCTAATCTCTGAAATGGGTGAACCGATTTTGACGGGAATTTTATTCGCAGGTAGCTGATGTAATAAGGAGTAACTTAGGCTACTTTTATTGTAGATCTAAAATAAAGTAGCCTAAGTTACTCCTTATTACAGTTACGGACGATGTCCCGGGTACAGCTTTAAATATAACCTGACCTCATGCTCATCTTATCATCCTCCACTGGTGCCCCGCCAGCGTAAACCGTTAGCGCAGTCGGGTGCACAATTCCGTTATCATCCATCCAAAAAAACGTAGGGTTAATGACTTTCTCATTAATTTGTAATGTATGTTTTCTGAAGAATACATATAAATAAATAAATTTTGAGAGCAAACACTTGTGTATGCCATATGCAAGTAATAACTGACATATTTTTTGTAAAAATATTCTTTTAATATACACAAAAGTGGTCGAAATCGGCATGTGCCGGGTCAACAAACTCGGGTGTATACAAACATACAATCATGTTTGAAATGTATTCAATAACTGCAAAATGCTGAAGATAAAATTTGGTAGTGAAATTATTGTGTAATGAAGCGGGATATAATGGCTGTCATATAAAGACGTAAAGTTTGGTTTCAGGGCTGGTTTGCTAGCTGGCCAGGATGGCTTGCTCATCCTTCAAACTCGTGAACGAGTGCTGATGTAGGGATTGGTCTGTTCGGGTTACGAACACTGATTAGACTTTTCACTTGTCACTAAATTGCTATAGCATTTGCTGGTGGTCACTCTATTCTCCTAAATTTTAATTTAAAAATGAATCTTTATATCGCCTACATGTACAATCATATTTGAAAAGAATACGAGCTGAGTTTCTTGTCAGTTCTTCTCATCTCGAAATCATTTCGCACTGACGTATGTATCCATAACACAAGCTCTGCTTACCGTAGGACGAGACGGCTCTCTGTTAATTGTCTCTGGTTAAAAAAAATGTTTATTAATCTTCAGATTGGCGTACACTTTAAAATGCCTCGCGGTCTAGTGGATTAGCACACCGCTTTACTTCTGATAGTCGCGGGTTCGATTCCTCACACTGTATGATTGTATATCTAACGGTAGATTTGACATATCTTAAGAGTCTGTAATAGATCTACATGAATAAAGATATTTAGGTTCAGACTTTGAGGGTTTCCTGCCGCTTGCAACATTTTTTAATGGGTGACAATGGAGTGATGCACCCGATTGCGCTAACGGTATACGCTGGAGGGGCACCAGTGGAGCATGATAGGATGAAATCAGGTAAGTTAGCCCACCGTGGCAAATTCACCAGGAATTTATCATGACAGTTTCCAGGAGAAACCATGTGGAGGTCAACCTGACATGGTACATTGCTAGCTATGAGGTTATTAGTCCACATTACGAACAACCCCCCCCCCCCCCCCTCTTACAACACTGGGTCTTTGAAGTCAAGAGGGACTAGTCACTATTTGAGCTTGCCTGTACCACGTTAGACCATATCATCACTTAACATCACACATCACATAACGGTCAAATTTAGTAATAATTTAGTAATATGATAATGTTTTTATAGAAAAACTTCAAATCCATAGCTCTGACAATATTTTCTTATTACACTAATAATGAGTGCGTAGCGATTTCTATGTTGATTATCGCGTGCCTCTTACTTGTTATACTGTAATTATTATATAAAAAAACATCTATTCAAAAGAGTAACACACAAGTTGGCTGATGTAATAAGGAGTAACTTAGGCTACTTTCATTTTAGACTAATAAAATTAATTTCTACGCGGACGAAGTCACGGGAACAGCTAGTGTCATATAAGAATGTATCACAACTAAATATTAATTCTATATGATATTAGTATTTACAAATTTAGCGCCTGATAATTATTTTTTAGCAATTATACTAAGAAGATAATTTGATAGATAAAGAAAATACGATAGTCCTAAAAGTTGTGGACATCTTGCTTTGTATACATATGTCATATATACATATAGCAACATCTATACAAAAAAATATAGAATAGAATAGAATAGAAAATGATTTATTCAAATAAACATACATTGAAGCACTTTTGAATAGTCATCACATTTTTTTTAATATACCGCTCATTCGGAAAGCTGTCTCATCACAAGAAGAACCAGCAAAAAACTTGTGTGTTGCTCTTTTAAATAATCCTTGTAAGTTCACATTTTACAAGTCGAAACGAGTGAATACAAACTACCAACCAGCACAAATTTATTAGGGTCAAATATAAATACACAATAAGATTAAATATTGATAAGAGCAGACCAGTCCCTACAAGCAGCACTCGTTCACGAGTACGACGTATGAGCCAGCCATCACTGCGCTCGACCATATTTTAACGAGCCCAATGACCCGGCCCACCACGCCGCCACATGTCTGGACATTTTAGTGAGCATGACTATTCATTCCACTCGACCACGTCACAGCTACTTAAAATTACTATATGGTAGTTACATTATTCGCACTTTACATAAGGATGCATGCGGTAATCAATACAAAATCCGCTACGCTATCATATTTCAAGAAAGCAGTATGAAAAAGAAATTATAATATTGTTCGCAAATAAACTTATAAATAAATTTGAAGTGTCTGTTTGAAATTTCAAATTAACTTTTCACTAAATGCATTTTAAAGTACCTATATGGGGCACTTACATACATATATATATTTCTGCCGGTCGGTTGCCTGTCTGTCCGTGTGTTCTAGTTAAAGTTTTATTAACTGTTACATATGTACTACATTATCTTTAATTACAGAATAGTTTTTAAATTACGTGTATCAAAAATTTCGACAATTATTAATAATAAACAGAACTATATGTGGATCTGGGGGAACATTTCCAGGGGCAAAGCTCATTGTCACCACACGTGTAGCAGGTTGCAGTTAGCGAACGGTCTCCAGATATGGAGGTTAGCTGTGAATAACAAATAAACAGTCGCAAATAAAGCAGAGAGGTGCTGGGGAGCCCGTGGTAGGGTATACCTCAATATATAGCGCGCAAAACTCCATAACGACGGATAGCAGTGACGAATTAGGGCCGCCACTATAAACAAAGCTCCTACGCCCCGGGGAGGTGGACCTCATCAACCTTGGTTGGTAGTTCACATAGGAGATGGAAAACTCTAATTCCAAACCAAAACCTTCCTGGAAAATTACGGTAAGGTACCCGGCTACGAGAGAGATCATTGCAAGATTTTTTTTTCTTTTGATACTGTTTTTGTAACTGATTTTGGTTTTTGTGAGCATTGAATATTGTAATTCATTTTATACATATTTATATTTGTGTATCCTAGATCTTAATTTTTTTTTCTTTAAATTATATGTATCTGTATATAGTAAAAATCCCGCATCTTAGTTTTTTTTTATGAGTAATGGGGGCTACCTGAAAACCAGCGCTGTATAGCTGCACCTCATTGAGGTTGTACTTATATCAGCAACAGCTGAGGCAGCTCCTATTGCCAACTTCTATGTTAGTATTTATTTCTTATGTTGTGTCTTATTGTAAATTGTATTATTTGTGTTATGTTGGCAATAAATCAATTATCTATCTCTCTATCTATCTCTCTATCAAGAAGCCCAAGAAGGGTTGACGTCAGTTAGGCTGCCGGTCATAAAAAAACTGAAGCCAAAACCAATCTCTCGTATTATGAATTTGAGTGAACGAATTGATAAAAGAAATGCATGGACTGTGTGAAAGATGGTGAGAAAGGGAGTAAATAACGAGATGACTACGAACAGGGATGGAAGAGAAAAACATATTACGCCGACCACAAATAAATGGGATAAGGAAGAAGCAGATGATGATGACTTATGTACTATAATATTCTATGTGTCTGACTGTTTGTTACGTGCTAATAATGTCTGCTTATAGATGTTTTTTCCAATGATAATAAAAACACGATCTTGCATATAAAAGCCGCGTCAGCAACTTGGAATTCTCGCAAATAAACAATCAACTATCGTTTTGTTTGCCTGCCATTTTGCTGTTCAGAGAATTTTATTATCATTAAAAATCGTGGATACATGTTACCATTCCATATTGTGCATAAACAAGTTGCGAGTAATTGGTAAACATTTCTTATAATAATAATAATTTAATTTTTTTTTATAATAACCTAGTTTTTTTTATTACACATGGGACAAACGAGCATTCGACTCATTTGATGGTAAGTGATTACCGCCGCCCATGAGCACCCGCAACACCAGGGGAATGTACTTTCACGTTGTCGGCCTTTTAAAACGGAATAAGATCTTTTCTTGAAGGTTCTTTCTCTTCTGGCTAAAGTTAGTAATTCGTTTTATGGAAATTGCGTAAGGTTTTACAATAAAATACCAGAGTCTGTTATAAATCTGCCAGAAAAAAGATTTAAATGTCAAATAAAACAGTTCCTTTGCAAAAAAACTTACTACAAAATTGACGAATTCCTTAACGATAATAATGTTTTTATAGAAAAACTTTAAATCCATAGCACTGACAATATTATCTAATTACACTAATAATGAGTGCGTAGCGATTTCTATGTTGATTATCGCATGCCTCTTACTTGTTATACTGTAATTATTTATATAAAAAAAACATCTATTAAAAAGAGCAACACACAAGTTTCTTGCTCGTTCTCCTTGTGATGAATCTGCATTCCGAATGAGTGGTAGAATCAAAATATGACTATTCAAAAGTGCTTGTTATGAGTTTATTTGAATAAAGATTATTTCTATTTCTATTTCTATTTCTTTCAATATCGTATCGGTTCGGGAATACCATCGCTGGAAGGTGATTCCACAATGTGGTTGTGCGAGGCAAAAAGTTTCTAGAAAACCGCACTGTGGAGGACCGCCATTCATCCA